AATTAGAGTGGAACAGGCGGATGGTGGTCGCCAAGCCCAGCGAGAGAGAGCGAAGAAGACGAACTCGCTGCCAGAACATATTCATCGTTTCCACCCAGGCCACCTCATGGGCCGATGGGACCACCCAGAATCCGAGGTACAAAACTCTGGTGGCGAAACGGACTGAGGCGAAACGGCTGCCTTTCCGAGTCATGTGGGCAGCGAGGGCATCTCCATTCAGCGCCCCGCAGATCAGGACGTAGCATTTCCCCACGTTCAACGAGAGACCAATCGCGGAAGAGAGCAAGTCGAGAAGCAGCAAGGCGGGCGTGAGATCGATGAGAATGTCACGCAATCCAAAGCAGCAGTCATCAGCGCACGCCAATTGGACACCTACACTCTTCGACACGGCGGGCACGGATCCAGCGCAGCACGGGGTCCAGAGCCAGAGCAAAGAGGGTCATTGACGCAGGGCCCCCCTGCCGCACACCTCGCTCCACAAGGAAAACCGTTTCGGCAGCGCCCTCAAAGCAGACAAGGGCTGTATTGTTGGCGCACAAGGCTTTGAAGAAACCCACGGTCTCGCTGGGAGCCCATGGCCATCAAAGCGATAAAAAAATCCACTCGGCCAGGATCGAAGGGAACGCCGCCTTGAAATCGGTGAACGAGACCCCCGCTTTATCCCTCCCACACATGCGTTGGATAAGGCCCCATTTTTCAACTTCAACGACATTGTCTGGAATGTCGCGCCCTCGGGCCCCACCGCGCTGGGAGACATCCACCGTCTCAGGAGCGACGCCATTGAGTCCCAGACAAAAGGCACCGGAGAGCATCTTCGCATCCGCATTCGCAAGGGAGAGCGGGCGGGTGGAGGCAAGTGCACGAGAGACAAAGTCGCTGCGATCACGGGGGTCGCTGCCCTTCGGGGGGGACACCACGCGACTAACCCGACATTCAGGGGGGAGAGCACCTCCTGCACTGTTGAAAACCTCCTCGTAAACCTTGAACAAAGCATCGGTCGCCTCAGGGACCTCCCAGCATCCATGCGGGATCCCATCAGGGCCAGGAGCAGAATGAACTTTATGGCCGACACAGCCCCGAAATTCATCCGCGTCAAGTTTCCACCGTGGGGCATGAGAACAATCGCCAATAGTCTGAACGTGGGTCAGCATTTCTTCCCAATGAGTCGGGTCGTAATCCGCCTGTGCAAAGACCTCACTCCAATGAGCTACCAGTGCCGCAGAAGCCGCTTCTGGGGAGGCACGCGGGGCCCCGCTCTCGTCCAATACGCCTGGCAGTCCAATCCTCCCCCCCATGAGGTCCCACCCACGCCTAAGGGCCACCAGCCTCCGTCTCCTCTTGGTCCTGACCTCCTCCACCTGGTTACTATGATCCAACTCCTCCAACTCCGCATCAAACCGACGTCCCTTCAAGGTCAGTGCCAGACTGTGGAGGCCCTCAGGATCAGTGCACACACCGCCGTCGACGTCGAAGAAAGGCAGGAGAGATGCGCAGCAGCGAATGGCACGAAGACGCAGATACCACTGCCGACCCCTCCGTCCACGGTATGCCATGAACGCAAAGTGGAGCCGTTCCGCATCGTTGCCCGCTGGTCGACACGTAAGGGACTTCTTAAATTCCACAGCAGCCGCGCCAAAAAAACCTCTTTCACCCTCGCGAGTTTCTGGGCAGGGCCCGATGGGAGCGTCAGCTCCCGTGGCTGTTCGGGAGCCATTATGTGGTCGTCGGCGCGCTGGCTAATCCATTTCGGAACCGAGAACCGACCCTTCGGGGTCGGGGGGGAAGCGGTGGCAGCGGCGGGCGTGTGATCGGATAAGGCCCCTGGATGCATGAGGGCGCCGACAGCGTTGACAACAACGGTCATCTCAATGAGAATGCCTGCAGGAAGGGTCGTGTAAATCCGATCTAATCTGGCCAGCCCCCTCAGTTCCCGATTCACAATATCCCTTCGGGTCGGGTCTGGTTGGTATAACTCACACCAGTTGCTACAATGTTCCTGAAAAGCATCACATTGCAAACGGTCCCCAGGCGCAATCTCCCCTGAGACAAGAGACCTGCCATCCTCCATCGTACAGAAGTTCCAGTCTCCCAGAATGGTAACCATGGTATGCGCTGCCGCAGGAAGGGCGGCATTGATGAGGTGTAAGTACTGATGATAGATACGAACGTCATCGCACGTGTTAGGCATATGTACACTGTCCACTACCAAGTCGCCTCGAGGTCCCCGACCATGGACGAGTAACACCCGCCCAGGAACGACCGTAATCGGAGCGATCGGGTCGAAGCAGTCACAGAGATCCGAAGACAGGAAGGTCACCACCACCCCCGCGTTCCGATCCTCCAGAAAGCTCCCAAAACAAATGCCCAGTCCGCCTTTCGCCCCGAAGGATAACCAAGTCTGCTTCAGATCCGTGCGTCTCCTGTAAACACATGACCTGATACTGTGAGAGCAGCTGCTTAGCCCGAAGGAAGCGCGAACGTGACCGAGATGAACGAGACGAAAGAGAAGCGAAGAGCGCGCGTGTTCCAACTGCAGAGAGACAGAGGACGGGCAGGACGGTAGACACCACCAGCTTCCCCAGCAGGCGGCGAGAAGGATAAAGCACTGTCGCTTGCGTGGTGTACATCAAACTGGGCGGAGAGGGCGGACGAGCACTCAGTAGCAGAACCCACTGGACTTCTCCCCACCGCACACTCACCTGTCGAACTGTTCCGATACTCGCCGAAAGGGGCGGATCTCTGCGAACCTGGCGTGCAGACACTGTGCATGCTGCTGCCCTCCCACTTCCGTCAACCCATCGATCTCGACGCCACACTGCACGGTGCCCGCGGTGGGGCCATCATCAACAATAGAAACCTTAACCACTTGCACAGGGACTCCGTTGTCCTTCATCACATACACCGCACCTCCTAGCCCCGTCGACCCCACTTTGTCCGCCCCGAAGATTCTGGAGACCTGCTGTCGCATATTCCCGAGATAGTAGAACAGCTTCCTGGAAGAGGGGGGAAGATCACGTCGGACCCGTAGCTGTAAGTCGGGACCGCCCTCAGGATTCGGGAAGGGGAACGTGCCCACGGACGATGCCATTCCATGGAACGTGGAGGCCTCTAGGTTGGAATCAAAGTCCAGGAACACCTTCTTACTGCAATCGTAGGCCTTGACCTGAATCGAACCCTGAGTCGAAGACGGAGCACAGCGGGCGAGGATACTCTGGACAGCTTCACGGAGCGGTTTCTCCATCAGCGGCCGTGGAAATCCAAGAACCACAAGACGCGAGGGGTTGCCCACTAGCCCAGAGTCGACCTTCCGACGGACTTGCCTTTCTTCGTCCCCACGAGGTGTCGGGGCCCCTAGCTCGACGACTTTCTGAAGGTCCTGGATCTCGTCACGCATCGTCTGCATCATTCCTTTGAGCTCATCACGGATGGCGGATTCTGCGGTCTCACGGTCCTGAATGCACTGAAGGAGAGCCTGTTCGTGGATCGCACGCATCTGCTCGAAATTGGCTGCCGTCTGTTTTGCCAGTTCCGTGCGCGCCTGCTGTAATGTCTGGAAGTGCTTCTCAGCGGCGATCATCTGACCCTGGATTCCCGAAATCTGTTGGTTTATCTCCTGCACGCCGAGATTCAACTGACTGGACAGGCTGGCGACCGACGACGACAGAGGAGCAATCATATCACGCATGGCTGCGAGGATCTTCTCGGTGTCCCTCTTACCTCCGTGGACATACCTCCAGGCGCCGCCGGGGGGGTACTCATCCCTCCAGGGGAGGCGGGAGGAGTGGATGTGAGAGATACTGGCCAGGACTCGCTGACCTCGGACGGCATAGCGTTGGGAGGGGAGGAAGGCGCGGCCGCGGCGGGCCGAGGGAGAGCGGCCCCGCGGGGCCAGGGGAGCGCGTCCGCTCCCGGCCTTGGTGCCTGGTCACCAGGCGCCTTGAGCCAAAATGGCTACGGAGGAAGAGGAGGAGGAGGAGGAGGAGGAGGAGGAGGAAAAGGAGGAGGAGGAGGAGGAGGAGGAGGGGGAGGGGGCGGGGGAGGCGGAGGGGGAGGAGGGGCAGGCCCGTTGAGAGCGGCTTGCGACTGGACCTCCCCCGTGTACCTTTCTTAAGCAAGCCGCGGAGACAGAGTTCGTAGCATCAGCGTTGGCGGGCCATCGCCCGCCCGCCTCGCCGCACGCGACATAAAGCCGACACTTGGTGGCCAAGAGAGCGCGCCCCCACCACGGACAGCATCACGCACACGCCGTGCTGTAATCCCTTCCACCTCGCCCAGTTCCCCCGCGTGACACTCCCCCTCCTCATCCTCCTCCTCCTCCTCCTCCTCCTCCTCCTTTTCATCCTCCGGGTTTTCATCGTCTTCTGCCGGCCCCCCGTCCTCAGACGAGGCCAGAACCAGGAGAGCACAGGACCCGGACACATCGGGGATCTCTGCGGTCCGGCAGTTCTGAAGGATGCATCAGGTGCGGTCGCTCCTGAAAGCCCCCCAGCTCCGAGAGCGTTCCAGAGCGCTCTGTAACGAGCTAGTTACTCACCCGAGGTCCCATGATCCGATGTCTCGATTCTTTCATTACGGGGCCCCCGGAAGTCTCAACCCTTTCCCCGGGGCCAGTTCTTCAACCCGAGTGATTTACAGCAGGAACTCGACGACAAGAAACCTTCCACAAGGAACCCAACCCTGAGACCCCAGCGCGTCCATTGATTTCTGGTGTGGGAACGTCGCGCTTTCCACGGCAAAACCATCGAAACCCAAGAAACTCAGGGCACCCTGGAGGCAAGCTCGGTGTTTCTTAACATGGGTTGCCAGTGCATCAAGATCCCAGAGCCAGGCGAGGCCCCCCGGAGGCCGAAAACAACGGGAAAAAGAAACTTCGAGAGTACTATTGTCCAATGCGTTGGAGGTCTGGAGTCTTGGCCCCGCCCCGACGTCCTCCCCTCGGCCCCTCCCAGACCACCGGGGTGCCACTGCCGCGGAGAGGGGGGGCGGGGGGCGGCGGCGTCCTCGAATGACGGGGGCTGCAAGAACTGCGGCAGCAGCATCCTCGCGCCGAGCTTCCTCCCCCTCCTCCTCCTCCTCCTCCTCCTTTCCCTCCTCCTCCTCCTCTTCCTCCTCCTCTTTCTCCTCCTCTCAAGCCATTTCGGCCCGCAGCGTGGCCACCCACGCGCGCGGGGCCGAGGCGGCAAGGCGCGTGCCGTCAGCGGTGGCGGGCGCTGCAACAGGCGCCCACTGCACGCTAGCCCGCTGCTTCAGGGGGGCGGCCGACAGTCCGCTGCCGAAGTTCGTGCCGCCACACATGTTCGAGCATTGCATGGTCAGAGGAAAACGGCGGGCATGCGGAAGAAGCGTGGCCGCCTCCGCGGAGGCGGCAGTCCTCCAGATCGGCCAGCAGGTCTCCAAACACCAAGGGCGAGAAGGATACGCAGGACATGGTGTGTCCGATATGTTCTACGGGCAGTGGCAAGTGTGTCTACTGCAATCGAGCTGGCAAACCTGGCTGGGCAAATTGCAATTTTTGTGGACACGAGTGGAAGCCTGTCACCACCGACAACGCTGAGGAGGCCAAGCTGGACGCCACCATTGCCATGGTCAACAACACTATCAAGAACCAATACTTCCAGGCCAAAGAGAGATCTCTGACCAGCAGCACATGAACGAGATCACTGCCGCATGCCCAGAGGCCATCCCCGCCGAGCCAGCTGAACCAGTGGTTCTATCCACGGGACAAAGGCTCCAGCAGGCGGTGGCTGACTTCAACAGGGTGCAGCAGTACCATGACAAACTTCCTAAGAAACTACAGCGCGCCACCGAGTACCGAGATGATATGCTCCACGAGATCAGCGGCGCCATGGTGGAGCTTGCAGAAGCCAAAGGTGTCTTCCACGAAACCAGAGCAGAAGTCGGATAACCAGAAAAAGACCCTGCTGCACAAGCACAGGCAAAAAAGCCAGAAGAGGATGATCTATTCCCGACCCTCACGCCAGAAGAAGTGGAGCTGCTGGATGCGCCCCAGAGCAAGGAGTATGAGACGATCCAGGCCGATTTCCAGAAGGCGCGCACCATCATGGCAGAGAAGAAGGAGGCAGTCCAGAAGGCCAATAAGGTGCTGTGAAGGGCCGAGAATCTCCGACTTAGGGACAGGCTGCAAAGAAGCGCAAAGGGGATACAGGAGCCCAACCAGCAGGAGCTGAACCAATTGCACGAAAACGGAACGCTGAAGAAGCCGGCGCAATGCCGCGGCTCGCTGACCCAACGAGCACGACCTCACCCACCTCGACCAGGTCCAGAGCAACCTCTCGCAGCCCGTGAAAGTCAAGGCTCGAGCTAAGGCAGCCGCGGCCACGAGGCAGCCAGGATAGACGGAAAACACCAGGCACGACCACTAAAGCTACCACGGGAGGATCAGCACCAGCGTCAGGACCAGCACAGCGTACTCCATCAGGGCAACGAGAAGTACAACAGCAACATCTAAGAACATATTACAAGGCTTGCTCGGGAGAAAAATGAGCCAAGTGCGTCGGATTGCACTGGCGAGTCCAAACTCTCAGCAGCCCTGGAGCAGGTGCTCAAATGTCAGAATTATGGTCGATCTGTCTGGTTTGATGGAGGAGCTTCCATTGTGGTACTGGGAAGAAATACTCACAATGTCTTGTTTGCGAACGATTCTAGAATGGGTGTCACCCATGATGGCAGTAAGTTGAAAGACCCACTGCTTTGCTGTGGGGAAAAATAAAACCAATAACGAGGCCGAGAGGGGCCTAGAGCAAGCAGCCAAGATGGCGGCTAAGCACTAAGATGATCGTGGCAAGCTGCACGCAATACAATGATGCCGCCAAACAATTCATCGAGGACAACCAGGGCAAGTCTATAATGATCGCATTCTGCGAACACCAATTCCGTGGACCACCCGCCGAGATTGATGGTGGCAGGTCGATGCAGCTTGACTGGCGCCCTCGCGGCACATGGACACAAGCGAGACAATCGCCGAGACCGCGGAAAAGAACATTGAGGGGGGGGGGCACGTGCACCCTACGCCGATGGCACCTAGATGCGCGCGACCACGTGCCAGGCGCCGCTGGAAACAGCATAGTTGCCAAGGGGGTTCATGATATATCAGTGGATACGCAGGGGCTCAAAGGACTGAACGTGGCCATCATCGCTATATACGTAACGGCCTCCATTGGCTTCCAAGGCGCGAACGTCAGAACGATGAGGCACCTCCTGCACATCGTCAGGGGCCTGGGCGATGCGCCATGGATCATCAGCGGAGACTTAAACGACGCGCCGCAGGAGCCACAGATGACCCCATGGCCCATGGCTTAGGCTTCTGGGAGGGTGCCAACCACACGCGTAGCAGCGGGGCGGAGCGCACGATCGTCTGCGCCATCGTGGCGCATGGTTTTTGACTGCTGCTCCGGGCAGGCCGAGCTGAGCACAGTGTTCCTTGGGCACCGCATATTGGCACTGTGACCGAAATATGGACCAGACCTGCACTCATCACAATCCGCAAGGCCATGCCCCCTGCGAAGAGGCCAATACCGGCGAGTGAGATTCGAAAAGAAAAAGGGCTAAAATGACAGCAGCGCGACCGACCACGACACCAACAACCACGGGAACATAGGTCTGGTGTCGACGCCGCGCAGGACCTCTTGGACGCCCACTTCGCCACCGCGGTGCCGACGCAGCGCGGCCCGAACCGACGGGATGAGCTGCGCGAGGGCGAGCGCAGCAACCCGATCAAGGAGGCTCATCCGTGGATCCAGAACTCCACCGCGCACCAGCAGAAACCGCTGCTGAGCAAAGTAGACTGCTATATGGCAGATGGGCGAATGCTGCGGAGATGGCGGTAAGCCCATCAGGCCACCTGCGCGCAGGGGCCAGCCAATAAGCTGCGCGGGGGTTCCTTCCACGCGCCACATTAGCGGCGACAAAGGAAAGCACGAACGCCGAACGGCAACGGCAGATATGCTTGCAGCGTAATGCCCTACAGCAAAGGTGTCGAGATGAGATGCTCGTTCTACAGCGTCACCCCAAGGATGTCGAAGGTCACCTGCAACACATCTGCACTATGACCAAAGAGACCACGTGCCAAATCCAAAGGGCTGAACCGACAGGAATAGCGGAAACCGACTTACTCGACGAGCAGGCAACACTCCTCGCCAGCTGCCGCAATCGAGGACATCATGGAATGGGCAGAAGCGCATGAGGCGATCAAGCTAAGAACAGAATGGCATCCGAAGCAGACTTGGAAACGAGTGCGAGAACAAATGGCACAATGGGTAAGAACGGCACTTTCCAGGAACATGAAGGGGGCGCACAGGTAATTCAGCAGACGCGAAAGGCGCGTTCTACTAGATGCGGCAACCGGTCCTATCACTTAGCAGGGAACGGGGACCCTTCGTGGAGAAACGAAGTGCAGAGCAGGCATCTAGCCGGCGCGCTGGCAAAGACGTCACCAAGAGTGGAATTCGAGAAACAATGGAGCAGCCAAAGAAGGCAGCCAAAACATAACTAGCTCACAGAGGACCATTTGAGCTGGAAGACTTGGAGGCAGCTCCACCTCAGTTTCGTCCCACGGCGGCAAGACGAGCAGACCAGTGGCAAACGCCAGAGGTTCGAGCTCTCCCAGCTGCTGCCAAACGTGGACTGGTCAACATCCTCAACCTATGTAAACGCAATTTCAGCCGGCCATTCCAATTTCACCACATCTGGCACAACCTCGCTGTCAAAGCTGGATCCAACACGGCAGGAGAGGAGTGGCCACTCGGGATATTGCCATTTTCCCTGTTCGTCGATGGGGCAAGACGGCGATGGCGAAGGCAGAAATGCAGGAGTGGTGCAAAGAGAGAGCAGGAAACTGGGATGCTGCGATCTAGAAGTCATCGGCTTTGCGCGCAGCAGTGCTATCCATGTCGCTTGACGGGGCCAGCGCCGAGCTCCAAGGATGGCAATGTGGGACCTTCTACCTTGACCTCGAGAAGTTCTACGACAGCGCGGGCCACGGTCTACTTGCCAAGCGCGCCATGCAGCTGGACTACCCAAGGGTCAACCTCTATATGAGCATGCCCGTGCACTTATCTCCGCGCGTGGTACGTGCTTGCCAAGACCGCGCACATCCAATCTGTCCATGGAATGGAACCGCAGCAGGATGCGCGGCGGCAAATCATGCTGCACGAGCCATGATCTACACCGTTAAAGATATTACACACCTTGCTGCCCCACTCGCCAAAGCCAGAGACTTCGTGGACGACCTGCACATTCGTATCGAAGGTAGCCCAGCCGAATTCCCGGAGCATTTCCCAGTGGCAATAGACACCCTGATCCAAGCAGGCATCGATGCAAAAAAACCGCGTACCCTGTAAGTCGGCCGCACTGACAAGTCGCTCCCAGGCAACGAGCATCACCGTCAAGACACCCAGACTACGTCAAAGAATTCGGCGTCGACGCCAAGCAAGCCAACGAACGGGCGAAACGAACGGAGATATTCACCAACAGGGAACGTGGAGGAGACGTACTGCCACGCCCCACAACACCAACCTCAGGGCCAAACAGAGCTACGATTGACCAGTCACAAGCCTAAGCCCCATCGGCGTAAGACAAGCGCGAACTCGAGCAACATATGTGACGGGGTTCAGTGCGGGCGACAAGCACGCAGCTACGATCAACGCAATTTCTACTGCGAAAATTAACCAGCTACTGCATGCCTCATACGGCAGGTCAAGACATGGATCCAGATGTGGTCAAGGAAAAGACCAGCACACGAGCGTCCGCAACAACGATGGCATGGAAACATAGAGAATTCCGCACCATGCGCGTGAGACAGGAAAACGGAATGCTGGGTCTGGACCCATGGGTGCACTTATCCTCGCGCTTCACCAACTCGAGTGGAACTCAAGTGCACCTGGCCAGTGGGAAGACCCGCGTGGAGATGCCATGAGGTTCACTGGCGGACAGGCCCTGGGCTTCAAACGAATCACCAAATCACCAATGCACTGGCCGAACACAAAAAAGGAACCCTACTACGGAAAAGGAATGCGTAACGA